AAAGAGTCCACACTATAAAAACACAGCTATAACAGTGCAAAAACACCAAAACCCAAAACCCAATTCAATGAAATTAGGACAGACTAGCACCAACAATAATTACCTCAGGGTGGTAACGAATGCCGCCTTTCATTGGACCTCGAGCATTGTCATGTTGAATTCTGAATCCGACATAGGACACTAGAGTTCCATCGTCTTTTGGGATCGTACACTCGACCTGAAAAACAAGAGACAAAACACAAGTGAAAAAAGTTTGAAAATTTAGATGAAAACAGAGGATTGAAGAAAGAGGGTTTTTTTTTTTAACTTTGATTTCTCTGAAGGGGATGAGGAGGCTCTTCTCGAGCTTGGAATCCAAGCCGAGAATGTGAGAGGCGAGGCGGAAGTTGCGTTTGGTGGCTGCAAGAGCATTCATGGTTGCAAGAGAGAGAGCTTGACAGACTCCAATGGAGGTTATAGGAGGACAAAAGGGTTGAGAGAGAGAGAGAGAGAGAGAGAGAGGAGGATGAGAAAGGGTGATGAGAGGTGTGAGAACTGAGATGGGATTTTACTAGTGTCGAGAGCGTTGGTGGGACGGTTTGAATTTGACGAGCACAAAGGACGATACGAACGGGAGAGAGAGCGAGAGAGGGAAGTTGGAGGCTTCTGACAACAGCAAGCTGAAAACTTTGTTTTAAAAGATAAATAAATAAAGGGGTTTGGCTTGTGTGCAGCTTGAGATCGGACTGGATGGTATTTTTAGATCTGTAAGGGCCACTATAGGTCTTGTTTTGATAATATGAATTGTTTAATGTGTAAAACTCGTCGAGTGCTATATATTTATAAAAAATCACTTTAATCAGATATCGATAACTATGTGATCAAAACAGTTTTTTGTCAACCGTTAATTTTTTCACCGTTTATTTTTTTATACAAAACCGATTTGATCACATAGTTCTCAATATTCGATCAACTTAATTTTTCACAAACATATAGTACTCGATGAGTTCTACACATTGAACAATTCGAATTATCAAAACAAGACCCGTGGTAAGTCTCTACGAACTTAACAATACAGTCTAATCTGATCTCGAACTTAACACAAGCCATACCCATAAATAAATACATTTTAAAAACAAAAATGATAGAGATGTAAGTGGTGTCGCGTGGGAAGTTGGTAAAAAATTAATTTTTTTATTTTTTTAATTTTTTAACTTTTTTATGCTAAAAAAATGACCTTTTTGTGTAAAAAAAGTTAAAAAATTAAAAAAATTAACTTTTTTAATTTCTTTTCAAATTGTCCCTAAGTCTTCAGCTGGCATTAGTTTTTGTAGCTAGTTTTTTTGTGTTAGAGACTTTTTTAGTCTCGTTTTGTTTAATTTTTTTAAATTTTTTTAATTTTTATGAAAGAAAAAATATAATGATTATAATTTAAATATAGTATTTTATCTTATTAGTTTATATAATTAATTTTATTTTTTTGTATTTTTTTAACCAAAAATCTAAAGCTAAACGAAACTTGAATGTTCTATCAAAATTTCTACAAATGCTCAGCCATATCCTATTCCTTTGTGCGACTGTGTGTGAGTGGTTGCTTGTGTTTGTGTCAGAGTCAAAATGAGAGAGTGAGAGTGTTTGTGTGAGTGCATGTGTTTGGCCAAAAAGCGCGGTTAGGAACCACGATTTCAGCAGAAACAAATTTTGGTCAAAAAGCATGGTTCAGAACAGTGAATTCAGAAGAAATTTTTTTTGGATAAAAGTGTGATTCAGAACAGTGATTTCAGAAGAAAAAAAATTTAATTAAAAGCGCCTTTTGTAACCGCGATTTCTTAATCAAAATCACGTTTTGTAACCACGATTTTAAGACTTCCCAGATTTCACGCGAGACAGGCACATATATGTTGAGATCATGGTTGTGAACCACGATTTAGCTTATTTTGGGAATTCTTTCAAAACTAGACTTAGTTTGGGAATTGAATTGTAAATTTGGCTTATTTTGGGAAATGGCCCTAAAATGACAGCATCAATTAAAGGAGGGAAAATGGGTATACCATATGTACTTTTATTATATTATTTTTTTTTAGTTATAATTATTATTTTTTTAATTTTGACTCATAAGTGCTTTTGCTATGTCTCATATTATATATAATTAAGATATTTATTCTTTTTTTTGAATTATGTCTCAAAAAATTAAAATCATGTTGTTTTACTTTTAATTATAAGATGCATATGATACATATCTTTTGAAGAGGGTGCACCATACTGTTTTCCTAAAGGATATCCAACTTTTAAAGTTGGCGTGGTGCTCTTATATTGTGTTTGGTTAGGGGATTTGAAAAGGGATTTAGAAAGAGAAATGAAAAAAGTAGGAGAAATATAAATAAAATATACCTATATATCACCTAATTTCACACATCTTTTTCATTTTCCTTTTTAAATCTCTCAATCAAACGCAGCGTTAGTGTATCCAATTTGACCCAATATGTAGGGTGTACAAAATATTAAGAGAACCTAAGGTCGGATTGGTTTGGATTTTTCAACACTTCTTAAAATTATGGATCCGATAAGATAGTTTATGACAAATTAAACCAATTTTTTTATTTCTACCGCCATTATTGTTATTTTTTATTTTTAAGTTTCTAATGATGCCTATGATATTATAATGGACTCTATATTTTTCGAATGAATTATTCACTTATTCTTAATAAAGATGAATAGTTGAGGTTGCACGCCGAGTTAGAGCATCTTCAATTGTTCATCACATATTTCATTAAAATAAAAAAAAAATTGCATACTCATTTTGGTTGTTTTTGCAGACATTATATTTGCATGATGATATCGTTTCATACTATTTTCGCATGATGTGTTGGTTTTCTATTTTTGCAAATATTTGGTCCAGGTTGTTTTGTTAAGCTGAGTTGGTTGTGCTGCGTAGGTTGGTTGTTTTCGTTAGCGCGTGTGTTTTCTAGGAAATTGTTAGAATGTTTTGTCCGGGAATTGACAAATGGGGAGATTTTTAGGTCCCTTAGTCTTGTCAATCTCGTGAACAAACATGTTTTATCGAGTTGTAATTTTCCTAAGTTTGTTGTCTTGCTCGCTCGAGCGGAGGAGTTCTCGCTCGAGCGAAAATGTTATGCTAGAAGCTGCTTCTGTCTGCCAAAAACCTAAGAAGGAAGATTGTACGCTCGAGCACAGGTAGCGTGGCTCAAGCGAAGCCACTTAAGGAAAACATGCGTATTTGGTTCCTCGCTCGAGCGAGAGAGTCTTCGCTCAAGCGAGCTTCGTTGCCCCTGTTTTCTGTAAGTACTTGTTTAAGTACGAATCTAGGGTTACATTTTTGAGATCTTCTTTAAGGTGTTTAGGGTTTTCTTTTGGGGTTGTTTACTAGTTTTTCTTGATGTCTTGATTGAGTATTAAACTCATGTTTTGATAAGCACACATCAAGGAGGTTGATTGTTTATATTCAAGAGTGTTCTTCTTCGGTGGAATCCGGAGATTCAAGCGTGGAGTGTCGAAGGAATTTGATACTGTGCGTGGTCATTGATTCGACAATAGAAGTTATGGATTCAACTTCAACCTAATCAATTCTGAGACGAAGGTTGCGGTGAAAGATATACAAAAGATTTGAAGAGAAATTGGAAACGTTTGGGTAATTTGTTTGTTATCTTTGTAATCTATCTTTCTTCAGTAGTGGATTGATTAGTGGCGTTTCACCCGTGATTTTTTTATCACAATTGAAGGTGCTTCAATTGTGGTTTTTCCACGTAAAAATCATTTGTGTCGATTTATTATTTTTCGAAAACAACAATTTAAATCACTTTCATACGTGCTTGATGATTTAGATTGTGAGTTTTAATTGATTGGGAATTGGAATAATTAAATCTTGATCTAATCATGAATCACTTAAGTTTTTCAATTGGTATCAGAGCGGGTCACTCTTTGTTTTTATCAAAACTATAGGAGTGTGATTTTGTGTGATTGGTGATATGGATTCAATTCGTGCAGGTAACTTGACCCATAGACCTCTGTTACTTGATGGTACAAACTATTCTTATTGGAAAGCTTGTATGAGAGCGTTTTTAAATCTATCGATGAGAAAGTTTGGCACTGTATGATCTATAGGTGGAGTGAACCTATTGTCACCATTGATGGTGTTGATATTCCCAAACCCCTTGATAAATGGGACACATTCGATTATCAAAACTCAAGTTAGAATAGTAAGGCTCTCAATTCCCTTTTTTACTCCGTCACACCTAAAGAGTTTCATCATATTTGCAAGTGTGAGATAGCAAAAGAGGCTTGGGACATTCTTAAAACGATTCATGAGGGTACTACTTCTATTAAAAGGTCAAAACTTCAACGTCTCACCTCTGCCTTTGAAACCCTTTTTATGCGTGATGATGAGACGTTTAATGATTTCTATGCTAAACTTAGTGACATCGTGAATTCATGTTTCACACTTAGTGAAAAAATCCCTAAAGCTAAGGTTGTTAGAAAAATTTTGAGGTCTTTACCTGAGAGGTTCCAATCAAAAGTGATAGCTATTGAGGAGGCTCAGAATGTTGATACCCTCAAGCTTGATCAATTGGTTGGAAACTTGCAAACTTATGAAGCCTACCAGATTTCTAAGAAAAAACAAAAAGATAGTGTGGCTTTCACTAATGCTTATGAGACTGCAAAAACTCCTGAGATTGAGTTTGATCTAGAGTTCGAGATGACGGTTATGTTTACTAAACAGTTCAAAAAAAATTTAAAGAAAAAGAAGCCTAATTTTAGAGACCCTATTTCAAAATAAAAAAGTAATGATAAATCCAAAACTTTTCCACCAAAACTTGCTCCTAAAATTGAAAAGAAGATTGTAAAGGGGTAAGGGGTCAAGTGTTATGAATGTCAAGGGTTTGGACATATTGCTCTTGAATGTCTATCGAAAAAAAGTCTATACAGTGACTTAGGATGATGAAAGCGGGTCAGAGCAAGAACTCAAAGAAACTGAATCCAATGACGATGGGGATAGTGCTTTCATGGCATTCTGGTCCACTTTCACTCAACCTCCTCCGAAGCCAGTGGAATTTGCTCATGGTCAGAATTTACACCATGCTCTCACCTTTGATGGGAGTAATTACTTATATTGGAATATCAGAATGAGGGCGTTTCTGAGAGCTTTCGACCCTGAAAGCTGGCAAACCATTAAAGAGGATGTTTAAAGTACTGACAATCCGAGTAGTCAGAGAGTTCTGATTACTATTCATGAAGCAATTTCTGATGAAGAACAGCAACGGGTTGCTCACTGCACAAAGGCCAAAGATGCATGGGACATTCTGAGCCAATTTCATAAAAGAGAAGAGTCATCTTCACCACCATCTATCAGCTTTCCTGCCTTAGTTGCTCGACTGGATGAGGTCCAGGAGAAAAATGAGCAAAAAGAAGATGATGAAACATCAAAAGACAATGATGAGATTGATGGTGATGATCTATAACAAGCTTACGAAAAGCTTTACGATGAATCTCTGAATTTGTCCAAGATCAATGACAAACTCACTCTCAAGCTCAAAGCATGTGAAAACGAGAATGTCAAGCTAAAATGAGAACTTGTAACAGCAAAGCATAATATCATCAAGATCTCTAGTGACAGGCAAGACCTATGTGGAAAACTTCTATCTTGTGAGACTGAAAGGAATGAACTCCTGAAAATATATTCCATATATGAAGAGAAGATTGAAAGCCTTGAGATGTCACAAGCTATATTGGAACAGATGGTATGTCATACAGATGAAGAACTCAGAATTTCTAGAACCATAATTGTCATGTTGAACAAAGGTTCCAAGTCATTAGAAGACATCCTCGGGTCTCAACAAATGGGTTGTGACAAAAGTGGGCTAGGCTATGGTAATGCGACAGCTCACAAGGGACAGGCCTCTACATCTCATGACCTGAAGACTCAAGCAAAGGGAAAGCTGAAGGTGCACCAGGGTGATCCCTCTCTTCATTTACCTAACGGGGGTAAGATCAACAAAAGGGAGGTAAAACCTATTTTTGTTTGTCATCATTGTGGTAGATATGGCCACTTTTGTCCTTATTGCTTTGAATTGATTGGTAAAGTGTCTCAAAAGGGTAAAAATTATAATACTTTTTGGGTTAGAAGACAACCTTACATGTCTAGGCGGAACACCAAGATACATGAGGGTGTTCACAATGCTAAGACATTTACCAAGACCGCCAGTCCTGATTTTGCTAAGACCAAAAAGATATAGGTAAGAAAAGATGAATTGACTTATTTAGTTATTCACATTGCTCTAAAAGCACGTGACTCACACATGTAGTACCTTGATAGTGGGTGCTCTCGTCACATGTCAAGTGACAAATCCTACTTCACCTCCCTTGAAAAATATAAAGGTGGAATTGTTACCTTTGGAGATGGTGGCACTCCTAGAGTCATTGGAAAGGGCTTTATAAGTGTGGCTGGTCTTCCCAAGCTTGAAAATGCATTACTTGTTGATGGCCTTAAAGCAAATCTTTTGAGCATCAGTCAAATATGTGATTCCCACCATGAAGTATTGTTTTCAAAAAATAAATGTGAAATTTTGGATGAAAGGGGAAATACTATCATGCATGGGATTCGCACATCTGATAACTGCTACGGGATTATTACTACTAATGATCTCACTTGCCATTCAGCCATCATAAGTAACATTGATCTGTGGTATCACAGATTAGGTCACATGAATTTCAAAGACCTAACTAAGATAGCCAACAAAGAGCTTGTGAGAGGCGTACCTAAACTGGGTAAGAATCTGAACCATGTGTGTGGACTATGTCAACTTGGAAAGTAAACTCGTGCCCCTCATAAAAAGGTGAACAGCTTTACAACCAAATGCCCTCTTGAATTGGTTTATATGGATCTAATGGGACCTACTCGCACTGAAAGCAGTGGAGGTAAAAGATACATTTTTTTAACTATTGATGATTTTACTCGTTTTTCATGGGTAATTTTTTTAAGAGAAAAATCTGATACGTTTGATGCTTTCCAGGCCTTAGTCCTTAAAATCCAAAATGAACAGGGTGTTTCCATTGGGCGTATCATAAGAATCCGAACTGATCATGGTCGTGAGTTTGAAAACAGTTCGTTTTCGGATTTTTGTGATATGCATGGAATTAAGCATGAATTTTTTACTCCTATTACTCCACAACAAAATGGAATTGTTGAGAGGAAGAACGGGGTTGTTTAAGAGATGGCTAGGGTCATGCTCCTTAATAAGAAAGTTTCTCCAAAGTTTTAGGCTAAAGCCCTAAATACTGCTGTTTATGTCATAAATCGTGTGTATTTAAGGCCCAGCACTTTACAAACTCCATATGAATTGTGGAAGGGATTGAAACCTAATATAAAATACTTCAAAACTTTTGGGAGTAAGTGTTACATTTTCAAAGATAGAGAGCCTTTGGGAAAATTTGACTCCAGAAGTGATGAAGGTATTTTTCTAGGGTATTCAACCACTAGTAGGGCTTTTCGAGTCTATAACCTGTGAACTTCATCTTTAATGGAATCGATCAATGTGGTTATAGATGACACAGGTTCTCTTACTTCAGGGATAAATGAGGAAGAAAATGGTGAGTCTCCAATACTGGATATTGAACCACAAAGTCAAAAAGAAGCTGAGGTCCAAGCGCAAGAAGTTGAGACAACACCAACTTCTCAAGTAAGTCAGAGTCCAAAGAGTGCATAGAGAGACACCACTTCTGATGCTTCTGTCACCACAAGTCCTGAGTTCAAACCATCAGCAAGGGTGAAACTGAATCATCAAACTCAACAGGTGATTAGAAGTGTCTCGGATCGAATGAAAACCTGAAGACAAATTTGGGATGAGGTATCTCATATGTGTTATGTTTCATTAATTGAACCTAAGAATATAAAAGAGGCCTTACTAGATGATAGTTAGGTCAATGCTATGTATGAAGAATTAGGTCAATTTGAACGTAACAATGTTTGGACTCTAGTTCCCAGACCTAGAGACATGAATGTGATAGGTACCAAGTGGATCTTTAAGAATAAATTTGATAAGAATGGTACTGTGGTTAGGAATAAAGCTAGGTTGGTTGCTCAAGGCTACACACAAGTAGAGGGTTTGGCTATGATGAAACGTTTGCCCCAGTTGCACGTCTCGAATCTATTCGTATTTTACTTGGTGTTTCATGCTTTCTTGGTTTCAAATTGCTTCAAATGGATATGAAAAGTGCCTTTTTGAATGGGTACTTGAAAAAAGAGGCTTATGTTGAGCAACCAAAAGGGTTTGAGGACCCTAAATGTCTAAACCATGTCCACAAGTTAGACAAGGTTTTGTATGGGTTGAAACAAGCCCCTCGGGCTTGGTATGATAGACTTACTGCCTTTCTTCTTGATAATGACTTTCAAAGGGGCAGTGTGGATAAGACTTTATTTGTGAAACATACTAAGTCTCATGTTCTTGTTGCTCAGATTTATGTTGATGATATTGTGTTTGGATCCACTGCTGATCATCTTGTGAAATATTTTTCGAATTGCATGACACATGAGTTTTGAGATGAGCATGATGGGAGAGTTGTCTTATTTCTTGGGTCTTCAAATTAAACAGTCTCCTTCGGGTATGTTTGTTTCTCAGACTACGTATGCCAAAAATCTTATGTCAAAGTTTGGTCTCGAGTTAGCCAAACATGCACGCACTCCCATGAGCACCAGTCTTCACCTTTCTAAAGATTCCTCTAGTACTGATGTTGATCCTACCTTTTATAGGAGTATGATAGGACGTCTTCTTTACCTCACAGCCAATTGTCCTAACATTGCATTTAGTGTAGGTGTCTGTGCCCATTACCAAGCCAGTCTTAAAGAGTCTCATCTTCTTGCGGTCAAACGCATCATTAAATATGTTAATGGGACACTGGGGTATGGGGTTTGGTTTTCTACCGATACTACGGCTGAAATTACTGATTTTTCTGATACCGACTGGGCAGGGTGTGCTGATGATAGGAAGAGTATATCCGGGGGGTATTTTTACCTTGGGAATAATTTGGTTGCCTGGCATAACAAAAAGCAAAACGCCATCTCTTTTTCGACTGTTGAGGCTGAGTACATTGCTACAGGGAGTTCTTGTGCACAAATGCTGTGGATGAAGCAAATACAGGTAGTAGATATATGTTTTTTTATGTTGTTGATTGGGGTAGTAGATATATATATATATTTTTTTTTTTTTGCATACTCATTGTGGTTGTTTTTGCAGACTGGACATTTGCAGACATTATATTTGCATGATGATATCGTTTCATACTATTTTCGCATGATGTGTTGGTTTTCTATTTTTGCAGATATTTGGTCCAAGTTGTTTTGTTAAGCTGAGTTGGTTGTGTTGCGTAGGTTGGTTGTTTTCGTTAGCGCATGTGTTTTCTAGGAAATTGTTAGAATGTTTTATCCAGGAATTGACAAAGGGGGAGATTGTTAGGTCCCTTAGTCTTGTCAATCCCGTGAACAAACATGTTTTATCGAGTTGTAATTTTCCTAAGTTTGTTGTCTTGCTCGCTCAAGCGAAGGAGTTCTCGCTCAAACGAAAATGTTATGCTAGAAGTTGCTTCTGTCTGCCAAAAACCTGAGAAAGAAGATTGTACGCTCAAACGCAGGTAGCATGGCTCGAGCTGCGCTCGAGTGAAGCCACTTAAGGAAAACACGTGTATTTGGTTCCTTGCTCGAGCGAGCTTCGTTGCCCCTGTTTTCTATAAGTACCTGTTTAAGTCTGAATCTAGGGTTACGTTTTTGAGATCTTCTTTAAGGTGTTTAGGGTTTTATTTTGGGGTTGTTTACTAGTTTTTCTTGATGTCTTGATTGAGTATTAAACTCATGTTTTGATAAGCACACATCAAGGAGGTTGATTGTTCATATTCAAGAGTGTTTTTCTTCGGTGGAATCCAGAGTTTCAAGCGTGGAGTGTCGAAGGAGTTTGATATTTTGCGTGGTCGTTGATTCGACAATAGAAGTTGTGGATTCAACTTCAATCTAATCAATTCCAAGACGAAGGTCACGGTGAAATATATACAGAAGATTTGAAGACAAATTAGAAGCGTTTGGGTAATTTGTTTGTTATCTTTGTAATCTTTCTTTCTTCAATAGTGGATTGATTAGTGGCATTTCGCTCGTGGTTTTTTTATCACAATTAAAGGTGCTTCAATTGTGGTTTTTCCACGTAAAAATCGTTCGTATCGATTTATTGTTTTTCAAAAACAACAATCTAAATCACTTTCGTACGTACTTAATGATTTAGATTGTGAGTTTTAATTGATTGGGAATTGGAATAATTAAATCTTGATCTAATCACGAATCACTTAGGTTTTTGAATTTTCATCAAATTCATCCCAAAATCGATTATCTAGGTTGGACGTCTGTCACCTATATATTTGATGAAAGGATAAATGCTCCCTTCATTTGATGAAAAAAGTACCAATTCCTTCATTTGATACCAAACTGATGAAACGGTTGAAGCACCATTTTTATCAGTTTTTCATCAAATTTAAATTTAATTAAAGATCTGATGAAGGATTGAAGATGGTCTTACATGGGATTGGTTTGATTAAATTCTAATAGATTGATTCGATCCTAGGTCCAAAAAGTTATTCTATTCAATTTTAGATTTAGTGTTAACCCAAATCAAATTCATTAATACACACCCTAAGGTGGTGTTTGATAAAGTTGAAAAATGAAAACTGAATATTGAAAATTGAATGTTGAATGTTGAATTTTTTAAACTGAAAAATTGTTTGATAAAAATTTAAGTGTTGAACTAAAAATAAATTGTTTAATATGTATAAGATCAAATTTGAAATTTATTATTTTCAAATTATATATTTTAATTTTTATATTGTGATGGTGGTAGTGGTGATGGTAATTGTGGTGGTTGTGGAGGTAGCGATGGTGGTGGTACTAAGATGACAGTAGTACTTATAGTATCAATGACAACTGCGATGAAGATAGTGGTGGTGGTGGTGACAGCGACATGATGGTGGCAATGGTGGTAGTAGTAGTAGTGGTAGTGATGGCGGTGGCAGCAGCAGCGGTAGCGGTGGTGGTGGTGGTAGTAGCGGTAGCGATAGTGGTGGCGGTGGCATGATGGTAGTAGTTGTGGTGGTAGTAGTAATGATGGCGGTAGTTGTGGCATGATAATGGTGGTAGTAGTAATGGTAGTAGTAATGATAGTGGTAGCGATGGTGGTGGCGGTGGCATGATGGTGGTGGTGGCAGTTGTGGTAGCGATAGTGGTGGTTGCTTATGTTTAATATTTATAAATTCAATCAGAATTAAGTAGATTTCACATGATTTAAAAAAATTTAAAATTTTATCCTACATTTTAAGAGACACTTAAATTTTTAAGTGATACTAATTGTAATTATCAAACCGACTTAATTGATTATCACTTAATACAATTAGTTTTAATTGCTGAATTATTATCCATCATGCCAAATTTTAGGAATAGCACTGCTAGAGTTACTCTGAGGTGACAATTAACATCTTTAAATTTGATATCTCAAACAATAAACACTCCATTTAATATATCAAATTTATTTATTTTGTTAAATATTTTACTTTGAAACCTTTTTGTCTTAGTTTGTTTTTCTCCAAATTTTTAAACCAAAGTCTCACATAAAATAAACAAAGCTAATGTAGTATCATATAATAAACAAAGAAAAAACTCTTGACAAATTTTATAAAAATTGTTGTTCTAAATTGAACCGAATTTTATTTTCATAATTCGATTTAATTTGATTTTTAAATTTTCGTGGTTCAATTTAATTCAAATTACATAAAATTGTAATTAGTAATTTAATTTTAATTTATTTCAAATCCAACCAAATCGAATCATTAAATATTAATTTTTTGAGTTAGCATTTAAGATTTGAATCCTGATTGGAGATGCTCTTAACTTTTTGTCCAAATTAAACTCAAACTTATCCACAAGTCCAAAGACAATATTTAATTTTAAGAAAAATTCTATTATGTTCATACAAAAAAAAAAACTTGATAAGAATGATATGGTAATGTTATTATTATAAATAAATTTATTTTGTTTTAAAATAAAATATTTACAATAAACTGCATAATTATTTAAGAAAATTATATACAAATTTTTATATTTATATATCATTACTCAGATTTTAAAGGGTATCTTCACTTAATCCACTACCTATTTTGCATTTAATTCAAGTTTTGTGTGCTTATGAGGAAGCACGAAAATGTAAAATCATCATCTAGCATGGTTAGGGGACATAATTTTTATACATAATTTTCAAATAAAATGTTGTGTTATTTCTGATCATTTTATTTTAAGTCAAAGATATACATCATTATTGTTTATAATTCTAAAAATGTTATTATCAAATCATTTTAATAAAATTTTATTTGTATACTTATTTTATTTCTTAATAAACCATCACATTCTTGACATTTGGTAAAATATATTGCCCTCTAAAAAAACATCATATTCATATTCACTTTCTGGTTCGATAAAATTTATTTCACAACATTTTTCATGAAATTTAACAAAAATATAATAAATCTTATAATTTTAATATAATTACATCAATTTCTTTTCAATACGACTAAGATTCAAAATTAATGTAAATGATGTGAAGACACATGAATAAATAAAATAAAATATACATTTCAATGTAAATATGTGATAATATCATTTTTTTCATCCATACGAATAATGAATTACTGATGAAAATGGAATTATGTGAATTAGAGTTCCAAGAAAGCTCTATATAATTATGTCAAATTTATGAAATTTATTATAATTTTTTTCCAGACATTAATTAATATTACCCCCTCCAAACAGTCAATAATTTTTGGTAGCTTTCCCTAACCTCAAGTTAAATGATTAATATCCAACCAAGACCCAATCTAATATATGAATGTTCCACAATATGTTAATTTAATTACAGGTTTTAATTTGGGGAATTTTTTTTAAAATTCCTAATATTATGATCTTAGAGGATAAAAGACACCCAAAAAAATTGTAGTAGTTTAGGTCCCCAAAAAAAAAAAGGCATATATTGTTTCTAGTTTTTGGACCAAAATACCTACGTGTTTATCTTCTCTCTCCACAATCAACAGCGAAAAATGGTTTCCATTTTCTCTAGCAACTGATCTTTTGTATGATCGAGTTCATCTTCTTCACAATCGAGTTCAACATCTTCACGATTGACAGAGAAAATATCTTTCATTCTCCATGGTCGACAGCGAAAATCTTTATCATTCTTCATCTAGCTTCTTAATTTCTCTAATGCATTTTCATTCCTGATTTCAGTTCATCTTCATCTTTATCTCAATTCAGAGTTAGAGTTTTATTTTCACCGCCTCACTCTGTTAAGTTTTTCAATTCCTAAACTAGTTTTTCTCTGAATTTACAATTGATTGTGTCTTGTATTCAGCCTTGGTGAAATTAGGGTTTTGATTTCATAATAATGGTTATTTATTACAATGTGATAATTGCGATTGATTATCTCAAAACCTGGGCCACATTTCCGTGTGATGGTCAGAGAAATTTGTAAAAATGAAATTTCTCAGTCATTTTAGTGAAAATTTATAAAAGCATCAAAACCTTATTTTAGTTGATTTTCCCTAGCTAAAGCCCTAGGCCAAATTTCTCTATCTTTATAGACAAATTTGTAAAAGTATCACCTCTTTATCAGTTGATTTTGTTTGCCTAAAAACCTTGGTCAAATTCCTATGTGATGGCTAGGGAAATTTATAAAAGCGAAATTTCTCTGTCATTTTAGAGAAATTTGTGAAAGTATCAAAACCTTATTTTAGTTTATTTTCCCTGGCTAAAATCCTAGGCCAAATTTCTCTATCTTTATGGACAAATTTGTGAAAGTATCACCTCTTGATTAGTTGATTTTGTTTGCCTAAAATCCTTTGTCAAAATTATGTGTGATTGCCAAAGAAATTTGTAAAAATGAAATTTTTTTGCCATTTTAAAGAAATTTTTGAAAACACCCAGATCTTATTTTATTTGATTTTCTCTATCTAAAAGCCTAGGCCAAATATCAATGTCTTTATAGAGAAACTTATAAAAGTATCAACCCTTGATCAGTTGATTTTCTCAGGCTAAAAGCCTTAATTAAATTTTTTTTATGTAATGGCCAAAGAAATTTGTATATGTGTGATTTTTCTAGTAATGTTGAGATATGAAATTTCTCTAGTTATCACACACTTGCCCCTTGAGATATGAAATTTCTCTGGTTATCACACAGTTACTTAGTACATTCTTGTGCATTCAAATTTATTTGAGTGTGTGCTTGAGCATGTGTGTTTGGAATTTCACTGTCCACTCCCCCCTTGAAATATGAACTTTCTCTATTCATTTCACATTTTCTCTTGTGCATGAGTGTAATTTCGATGGCCAAGTTAATTTTCTATATATCGAGTTTATTCATGTGTGTGTGTGTGTGAAATTTCTCTGCCTAGCACACACTTTCTATCCTCTTGTGTATTTGATTTTCACTGGCCACATTACACTCCACTTTAGATAGAATTTCTCTGGTATGTTCATTTTCTCTAGCCATCACACACTTGCTTAGTGCTCTCTTGTGCATGTTTGCCTATGTGTGTAATTTCTCTGGCCATGTTGTTTTTCTATATGTTATTTTGATTTTCTCTATATTTGTTTATGTTACTCTGGTAAATTTTTCTACAAATCAACTAGTTTTTCTCTAGAAACATAATTAATTGCATTTTATAATAGCCTTCCATTAATTAGGGTTTCAATTTCATAATAAAAGCCAGATGAATTTGAAAAATGAAATTTCTCTGTGTTTTGAGCTTATTCTTAAAGCTTGTTGTGTGCTTGTTTATTTGGTGGAATTTACTGTGGAATTGATTTTCTATTAAAGATTTCTCTGTTGTTTTTAAATGTCTCTACTCCCATACGTTTTTTAATATACATCAACCTCTCTTTCCTTCAAATTTGATTCAAGTTCAATTCATTCAAATTTCTCTGCTGTGTAATTTTGTCTGGCATGTTTAATTTATTTAGTGGAATTTACTGTGGAATTCATTTTCTCTTGCATGTTTATTTGATGGAATTTACTGTGGAATTGATTTTATCTCTTGTGGAATTGATTTTCTATTGAAAATTTCTCTATTATTTTTAAATTTCTCTGATCCCTTACATTTTTTAATATACACCAACCTCTCCTTCCTTCAAATTTGATTCAAGTTCAATTCAATCAAATTTCTCTGTTGTGTAATTTTCTCTGGCATATTTAATTTATATTGCTTTGTTGATTTTCTCTGGCTAGTTGTGTATTCGTATGTTTAATTTTCTTAATTATTAAAAATTTCTCTGACATGTGTACTCTCGTGTGTGTAATTTTCTCTTGCATGTTTAATCTTCTCTGGTATGTGTAATTTTCTCTAGCGTGTTTAATTTTATCTGACAACATTAATTTATGTTGCTTCTTTGATTTTCTCTGGCTAATTGTGTGCTTATAACTGTAATTTTCTTGGGAATTTAATGTTGACATCTTAATGTTTTCATTGTCTAAAAATGGCAAAACGCAACAGCAACATCAAAACACCAAAAACACCAAAAAAGAAACAAAAAGTCTCTGAGTCTGCCACTTATGATCTGAGATCAAAACACAATAGCAGCAAAACACCACAAACACCATACAAAAAAATAAAAATAAAAAAATGAAGAAGTCCAAGTCCAAGAGGTAACTAGTATCAAGAAGAAGACACCAACTCCAAACGTCTCAAGCTCAAAGGGAAAAAGGCCTGTGAATGGAATTCCTTGTTGTGTGCTTGTTTATTTGGTGGAATTTACTGTGGAATTGATTTTCTATTAAAGATTTCTCTGTTGTTTTTAAATGTCTCTACTCCCATACGTTTTTTAATATACATCAACCTCTCTTTCCTTCAAATTTGATTCAAGTTCAATTCATTCAAATTTCTCTGCTGTGTAATTTTGTCTGGCATGTTTAATTTATTTAGTGGAATTTACTGTGGAATTCATTTTCTCTTGCATGTTTATTTGATGGAATTTACTGTGGAATTGATTTTATCTCTTGTGGAATTGATTTTCTATTGAAAATTTCTCTATTATTTTTAAATTTCTCTGATCCCTTACATTTTTTAATATACACCAACCTCTCCTTC